ACCCCCACTACCGCCACTCTTCCACCCCCACCACCACTTCCACCACCACAACTACCACCACTTCCACCGCCACTTCCACCACCACCACCACCACCACTACCACCACCACTACCACAGTTTTGGCCGGAAAATTATAATTATTGTTATAGATGGAAAACGATCTCAGCATATATAATCTTCAAAATTAATTTACGATACGTACACAGGAAACCACAAATTATATTAAAATAATACAATATGTAAACTCAAACTGTTTTGTCAAGATTCATATGCAAGTTGTTAGTGACAGTCAAACAAGGAATCAACGTAACACGAATGAAACGAATGTGAGAAATTGTTTAATTTCGATATGACACTGTTAAACAAACGAACTATTAAACAAACGTGTATTTGTTAAACATACCTGATAATAATCTATAAAAGGCGAAGAATTATTACGAATTTGAAATCACGCATTTCGCACGGAATAACACGTACGAACGTCATGCTTGCCGGTACTGAACTAATGTTTCGTCCCGCCAAAACCTCGCCTGGCTGACTGCTGATTGCTCGAGGAGGCACGATTTCTTCTCAATTAAAATCGGCGCGAGAAATTAAAATATCGCACACTGTGAACATTTCCTTAATTGTGACAGTGACTATAAATATAACTGGAGTCAAATATCTTTTGTGCAAAAGTTCTTGCACATTATTGTAAGTTTGCTTGATATAACGTAACATAAATTAGAATTTGAACTACTTTAAGTTTTAGACTTACACCATTTTCATAATCATCGACGTAATTAAATCAAAATATTATCAATCCAGATAGGTACAAGGAATTTTGAATGTTTTGCTTTTAACTTTATAACAACATTAGGCGGTATGAAGAAAAAAGAGGAAAGGAAGGCAAGAGGAGAAAAGAAAAGTAAATTTTACGCACCTTATCTACAATCGTAACACAGAATTTATACGGTCTAACATTTATGATCGAAATTGATTGATAGAAATCACATCAAGACAGCGTAGCGCCTCGGTTTCTACAAACGAGAGACTCAAGTGTATAGCGGGTTGCATGCCTAGGCAATATGCACGTGTATATAAGAGAACGTCTGCTATTCGTTTTGGCTGTTTCATTCGATCTCTACCACGGTACTCTCTGACGTTCTAGCAAACAAATCATTTTCGTCGATGCAGTTGGTAATTAAGAAGAAGCTAAGAGATGGAAATTCGAAAGAAGTTAATGCAATTAACGTTTCTTTTTTGCGTTTTCTGCGCAATGTCACTTGCTCGATCTTCCAGCTATGGCAAAAACACGACAGGTAAGTTACTTTGTACTTTTTCCTTTTCCTAAAGACACTGTTTCCTTCGATGATATTTCTTTAACCTGTTATTCTCATAATAAGTTCTTCGATTAGCAATATTCTAAACTTTTCTGTCTCGCATCGTTTCAGGTTTCATCTCACGATAATAAATTGTATTATATTTATTTATATTATATTTGCGAGAACCATACTCGACCAAATTAAAGTTAATTTGACTTTATTACTTTCAAATTTCGAGATTGTAACATTTTCTAGTCAAATGGTAATCCGATTAAAAAATTGATACGGATACAGACGGGTTTCTACGAAAGAACCGTGTGTATATCCCAGCTCATGCTAGTTGACGAACGAGAAAGCTCGTAGCATAAATGCTTAACATAGATTCGTGTGCTAGAGAGAAAATTTTTTGTTTTGTTCATAAACGGAAGCACTGGTTGCAAATAGATTTATCTGTTCTGGACATCCTCCGATCGCTATCGTTGATCGTTTGTTCTGTCATTGATAGATTTTGCAGAGCATATCCATCACCAAAGAGCCTCTTCAACTGGAATGGTACGTAAAACTTAACGATAATTAGATTGCGGACGTTTATGCATTTTTTTATACGTTTTCGCAAACACGATTAAAAAAATGAATTCTAAAATGAGATTTTATACATCCTCTAAATATTATAATAAATACGTTACTTCGTAAATCTTCCATATTTTTGCACATTATGTGTAGTTTGTACATTTTCGCTATTTATATTTCTTGCAGATACATAAATATCCGCAGCGTAGTCATAAGATAAATGTAAAACGTGATAGCTTAAGCAGAAGAGAATTTGCATTTACATAGGTACCGACGTCTTCGAAGTGTGCCGGATTGAACAACGAATCGGGTCACTGCGAGCACTTGAAACGGTGCTTATCTCATGAGTATGGTTCAAACTTTACGCTGGCTATAAATCACTCGTGCGTAATCGACCAAACGTAAGTGTTTAATTCGTTTCCCTGAGTGAAAGTTTGAATCGGATTGAATCTAATGGAATCGAAACAGATACACAGGCATTTGTTGCTCGAGACACGGGAACGAAACGCGTACAAATTCTATGGTAGACGAGGATTTTGTCGACACTCTTCCGCAGATTGCTGGTACGTATGTAACGATCTGTCGAGCACAAAGGGCACGCGTCGTATCGTAAGTATTGGCACATTTGTCGATTTCATATGAAATATGCAAGTTGATAATTTAAATTGTTAAGAGGACGATAAACAAATTCGTTTCCACTGGAATATAACTTACGGACGAAGTGGTAATAGCTGGCTATTCGTTTCAGCGAGTGACGATAAGAAAGAAAATGAGGTGAGAATCGTTTGGTCGGGCGAGCATAGAACGACAACGTCTCGGCCTAAAAATCCGGCATTGAGAGGATGCGGAACTACATTGAAAAGTCAAAGCAAGTTGGTGGGCGGTAGACCGGCCGATCCCACGAAATGGCCCTGGATGGTGGCTCTTCTTACGACGAATAACGCTTACTATTGTGGCGGTGTGCTCGTCACCGATAGACACGTTTTAACTGCTGCCCACTGCGTTTACAGGTAAATTTTCGTCCCGTAGATTAGGAATTTTACTCAATATGGTAATGCGAAGACCATCGATGTATCTTACAAGATGGCCATAAAAAGGAACGTTCCGTATATTTTTTAAAGATGTAAGAAAATACAAACATAACGTTCTTCGATGTTATAAAAATGTCGGCTACATTATTTAACGACTTTATGAATGCATCGAGATACCATCGATAACTTATTTTTATTGCTTTTACGCGGCAGATCTGCAGCACAGTTGTTCGTAGCGTGAACGTATATATCGATTCAAAGTACGTCGTTTATCATAGGAAACTGGCTAATTTTACTCGTGTTTTTTTGGTGATCTTCGGCAACTAGTTGATTGCTACGATCGCGTGTACAAGATCTCATATTTTCTTAAACCTAAAGATAGTCAAGAACCTGACCAGTTCTCCATATGGTTCTGAACGGAACGTTCTCTCCTTTACCTCTTCCTCGCGTTTCATCTTCCTGGTTTTCAGTACAAAGGCATAATGTTAATTAAAGTTTCCCTTTTGTTGGGTCAGATTTGGACCGCAGGACATCAAAGTCAGGCTCGGAGAATACGATTTCGCGACGAGCGAAGAAACGAGAGCCGTGGATTTCACGATTTCCGAAATACGTATACATCGAGACTTTATTCTTGACACTTTCGCAAATGACATAGCAATAGTGAAACTGTATCTACCGACCGTCTTCAACAGTTATATTTGGCCCGTGTGTCTGCCACCAATCGGTCAAACGTTCGAGTACAAGGACGCAGTTATAACAGGTATCCTTTCCGTTTTCGCTGTGCCCGTTAGCTGTTCTCCACGCTATTTTACATTATTTTCGAAACACCAGTTTCGATGATTCTTGAACACGTAAAGTCCAATTTAGAACGACTCTCTCTTCTCACGAAAACGTCGCACTCTCTTAGTTTCCGAGATATTCGCGAAGAACTGCCGGTATCACTGCAGCGAATTCTTATCTCAGTGAATTCAAACTTGATTCTTATCTCTTTTTTTATAGTTTATACAGGCTTGGATTAAGTGTTATTTTAAGTGTCTCGATACTGACGCCTACGCTGCGGCGGACGCGCAATTATATGCTGAATTCACTATAGCCGTACCGATAATTTTTCACGAGTATCTTAGGAACTGTTACAAGAGAGTTGGACATTTTCGTGAAAGCAGAAATTTGTTCCAAATGTTGAGTTTTACAACGTATTAGAAAATCATAGAAATTCATGTCGAGGGTAAGCTTCGAAATAATTCGAAATAAACCATATTGTCTCGTCGGATTAACAAAAATACGCGAAGTATAAAGAATATAAAAAAATACGATCATTGTCGAAGCTGATACAAGAGACGCATCGGGATTACAATCGATGGTTAAAAATTTAGGTTGGGGCGCACGCTACTACGGAGGCTCCTATAGTCCGGTTTTGATGGAAGTCGAGGTCCCGGTATGGCCGCAGAGTAAATGTACGAGCAGTTTCGCTCGACGAATTGCTAATACGACGATTTGCGCCGGCGCTTACAACGGCGGAGGCGACGCTTGTCAGGTATGTAAGAGACCTTGATACGATCAGGAACAAAGCTAATATTCCGGCCAATGACTACGTTCGCGTACAGGGTGACTCCGGTGGACCACTCCTTCATCAGCTTGCAAATGGCAGATGGGTAAACATCGGAATAGTATCTTGGGGTATTCGATGCGGAGAACCTGGACGTCCTGGAATATACACACGCGTCAATTCCTATCTTGATTGGATATTCGAGAATGCTGTATTCTAAGCCTAGGATCGCATTTAATTTGTTAAACGAGTGTCCCTTTATAATTACGAAATTACTAAAATTATTAAAAGTTAAGACAAGTCCAGACGAAAGACAAAGCAACTTCGGTTTGGTCGGTTTTAATTTTTGCAAATGTAAAAATGGCTCGTTTCCGATAGAAGCCTAATCTAATCTAAGAATCTGGAATCTGGAATCTAAGATCTAAGTGATATGTAAAAAAAAAAAAAAAAAAAAAAAAATAGGAGATTCTAAGATAAAGATATCACATCAGAGAAATTTTAATTTAAAAAGATTAACGACTTAACTCGTAAAATTTCGGATGTTGATGTAAATAACGATGCGAAAATCAAAATTTAAGCAGCCCAGGTTTCTAAATAGCTGAAATAATTAAGAGTTTTTGTATCAATAAACTTTGAAACGTTGAAAAGCAGCGGAATGATAGAAAACTAATTATCAAGACCACACGAAGGAAAAGGTAAAACTTTAGTTACCTTGGATGTTTTAAAATCGTGAAATATGTTGCTGCTGTCAGGACAGATTTCGTGTTTTCTTGCTTGGTTTCTTTATTCCTTACGTCGATCGTACAGGGACACGAATCGGAGAGGAGTCTGGTATCGTGCGTGGAAACGAAGAAATTTTATTTTCCGAATATCGATTGTTACATCGTTCAAAAAGAGATTGACACGAATAGAGAGAAATTCGATTCTTAGGACGTGTGTGGCCGCAATTTTTATATGTATGTACTTTCTTTTATGGCGTGGACGCGCATATAAGCAGCCACGCGCGTGCACGACGCTATGCGACCGATTTTCGCATGACGAGTAAGCGTTGGAAGATTCCACGATTGAATCTCCATTATTTGATAACTGACTTTCCGACGAGGTCCAGCCTCTCTTTTCCTTTATATACACCGATATACTTATAACTTCAACTCTTCATAAATGTATATATGTGTATGCGTGAATGCGCGCTCATGCGTACGTATACAGTGTGTCCCAGAGTTTAACAACCAAACTTTGTCAGTGTATTCTATGGATACGATCCAGTAGAAAATGTTACACAAAGCTTAGCTATGAAGCGTTGAGATACTCTATATATGTAGATTTATGTGTGAGAATCATTATACATAGAGTGTCACGCCTAAAACAGGTCACCTAATTATCTTCGGCATCTTAGAGCATACAAAGAGTATATTACGCTACCAGTCATAAATATTAAAACATCCCATTGACATTTAGTACAAACTGTGTTTAGTCGTTCATTCGTGTTATACGTGCCTTATAATATAAAATAGTACATGGATTAAAATTCATTGGTAATACTGTATGCACATTCGCGTTTTGTACGAAACCAATTAAATGGAATCTAAGCAGAGATTTGCTTCGACCAGTAAATGTTCTAATGAGTATATACCACGTATATGTTATATATTTTTGCACACTGTGCGTATTATACGCCTTTGAATTTCCATGGATATATAAAAATCCGCAATCTATTCGTTAGAATTTTCCAAGAAACGTAACGAATACATATTTCGATACTTATGGCCAGTAGCGTACATGAATATAATTTAAATTTGTATCAAAGGACGTATGCTCTGTATACGGTATTCCGAATTTAGTTTCGCGGAGTTCGTATGCAGTTTGTCGAACTTCGTAGACGCGCACGAGGTTTTTTAAGAAACCAGAAGACGAATAGGTGGCCTCCTTCGAATCGGGCATACCGTATACGTATATTAAATATACGCTCGTTTTCATCAAACATAGAAACATGTGCGCGTAAAATTTCCATTTTTGCAAACGTATAACATTATGTCTATACTTTAACATTCTTCCTCCATTATTTTCCACTCTGATCGCTCGTCTTCTCCGAAATGTTCGATCCGAGGGTGCCTACTACATTCTAACGGGACGTGTTTCGATCGAATCGACGAAAATCAATAGCGATAGGATACATGCTACGCTGAAGGGAACGCGGAAGACAAAGTATTCGATCGATTTTTCTAATATTCAAAGTTACATTCCTATGTACCCTTTTCGTAATTTCTTTTCAATTCAAAACTCACGACCACTCCCCTCTGCCGTTGCTGTCCTCTTTTGGCTTTTCGATCGATTTCCGCGCACGCGCAAAAATAATCCGTTTTACGACGTGTCTCGCATTTTAGACTTTAATGGTTTCTCTATTGAAAGCGCTGGTCCTTGAAATGTGTTGACGTTATCCGTCGAAATACGAAGCGGATATCTGGAAAAGAGAGAGAGAGAGAGAGAGAGAGAGAGAATGGGATGAGGGTGGAAGAGGAGGATCGAAAGGAGGAGAAGGGTGGAAAGAAGGGGAAAGTGATGGCAGGAAAAGAGGGAGGGAGAGAGACGAACTTTCACACGCGAGGAACTGGATGGTTCTCGCTTTTCCATCGGGAGGACAGAGTATACGTAGTATGTTGTGTATGTATGTATAGTAAAAGGAAGCGATATAGCAAAGTCGGTCAGTAGATAAAATTTTCAAGTTTCGTTGACATAAGCATGTACTTGTTAGTGCCTTATTTAGGCCGTAGAATATGAATCAGTTCTTCCTTCGTAGTATATTTTAACGATAATTTGTCTCCTTGAAAAGAAGAATGCTTATACAGTAGAACCCAATTTATTGAAATGGATCAAAAGCTGAAATAGTTCAAATAATCGAACAGCTCCGGTAATAGAAGTTTACTAGCCGTTCCCTTCGGTCCTTGCTATTAGTTGGATAATTATAACAGAAGCAGGACCCTGTTCGTCGATAATTTAACAACTAATAATATTTGTAAATTGACAAGTTACACGTTATAGCTTAGGGACTTCTCTCGTAGAACTTGTTAATGTTATAACAAATAGCCCGATCACATGACTTATAATTTGCTTTTAAACGACCCTAACGTTCGGAAGTCAGGAATCGCGTTCCATCTTTGACACGTAAAATTTCTTATGAATACAAACAAACGATCGCATAATTGTGTTCGCTATAGAAATACACGCATATATAACTAAACTTATACTCTGCCATAGTTGGAATAATAGTTAAGTCGTAACTTCGTATATCTCTAGCAGAGCACTAACTCGCAGCTATAAACGAAATACGGATAAACGAGGTTCTACTGTAACTCGTTCCTAACTTCTATTCTAAAAGCTCTAAGTGAACTGCTAACGATAATAGAAATTGATTTCAATTGTACAATCGAGTTATACGACCTCGGCTGCGGCTAGATCAATTAGTGACCCCCTACTTAACGCTTCGCTTTACGAGCTCACTACTACTACTATATCGCTTCCACCTACGTTACATCCCTCCGCGCAACTCCCTCCGTCCCTCCACGTAATAAATAACGATCGTGTTCCCGTAATGTTCATTTTTACTTCGAAAGATATTCTTTCGAACGTGTGGACCCAAATTTCGATCGGAATCGCCGATCGTCGGAGGATGCTTAGCTGCTAGTCTACACGAAACGATGATACACGTATTACGATGAAGTCGACTTCTCGACGAGAGATCGCAAAGTGTGGTACAAGAATCGAGGGGAACGGAACTAGACTCGCGAGGGGGGTGTCGTGGGTACGAGGAGCGGCGCGTTTGGGCCGCTTTCCGTGTGATTTGGCACGCTCTCGCCGGCTTGATAAGAACGCCGCCCTTGAGACACGACGTTGCTCGATGTCGAACTCACGGATGAACGATTCCGAGACGGCGAACCATCCACGAACGAACCGTTACCTATCGTACGGCCGCGGCTCGCCACGCCGTTTCCCGTCGCAAACGCGCCTCCACTGTTGTTTCCACCACTGTTATTGTTGTTCCACTCTCCACCGGCACCACCACCACCACCTTCGTCGCTACCACCGCGACCACTGTCGCCACCATTTCCCTCGTTGCTGCCTCCCTTACGATTTTGCGTCGAAGCCTCGCGTTGATTTGCGATTTGCTGTCGATGAGGAATTTGTTGTTGATTCTTCTGCTGGTTCGATTGCGATCGTTGTTGCTCTTGGAGACCTTTCTGAACTGTACGACGATTTTGATCCTGGCAATTCTGTTGCGAGGATTGCAAGGATCGAATGTCTTGTATCTTTGGTTGTACTACTGGATCAGGTCGACGCGACGACAAGCTTGTAACATCTTCGTGCGGAGGGTCGATCGTTGTTGAGATCGGAGTACTTGTGGTCGCGATCGTTGTCATGGCTGTCACTGTTGTTGCCGGCGAGGATAAGGAAACGCTTGGCTGTTGAATATTGTTCACTGGTTTTTCGCCGATCAACCAGTACGTGGTCATCGTGCCTTTACCCTGAAAATTGAAAGACGAATCGTGACCTCTCGTCGTGTTTTTCGACGCGTGTTTCTCACTTTCTTAGATTAGTCGAAAGCCTTACCTTCAGAGTAACCTCGCCTCTACAAACGAGCTCGAAAGTTTCAAAAGTATCCAGGATTTCCTTCGTTTTTGGACTAACGTGGATCATTAGAGCTACGAGTAAAGAAAATGTATTAATATTGGGATGAACCTTTTTGCTATTGTTTAACTGTACAAGAGTCAAAATTATAATTAATGTATTTGTCAAGAAACTCTAATTAAAAAAATGAAATCCGTATGGAAAGGATTGATCTTGAAAAAGGTACAACTATCGAATTACCTTCTCCATTACTCTCCATCCTAGATGCGGTATTGACAGTGTCGCCGAATAGGCAATACCTGGGCATCTTCAAGCCAACTACACCAGCCACGCAAGGTCCTGAAATTGCGACCAGTCTTTCATACACGCGTCTACGAATGTTTAATATGCGAGTTGCGACAACATGCAATCACGTGCATAGTATACAACTTGCAGCATATCAATTTATGAATACTGATCAACCATATTGCGGTTCCAGAGTATGTATGTTTCAATGTTACTCTTATTTAAACGAGTAAAAGGACTCTGAGAGAAACTTTAGCGTGCCCATACTTGAAATAAGAAATAAGAAAGAAAATAAGAAGTTTGGAGAAATTTTTTATCGATGGAGTAACACGTTTGAAAATGATTTCGAACGAAGGAATGCATGGCCGATATTATATTTTCCGGTATTGTTAAATAAATGCTAAATTTCATCTTGCGCAGAGAACAGCGAAGGAAAAAGACAAGCTACGGAGATATTTCGATCTTACCAGTATGCATTCCAATTCGAAGTTTCAATTGCTCGTTCGGTCTGTGACGTATACTAAACGTCATCACGGTATCTCTTAAGGCTAAGCTCATCCTGGCAATTTCTCTGGCATGATTCGTTCCATTCCTCACCGGTAATCCTGACACTACCATATAAGCGTCGCCAATTGTCTCCACCTAGAAAATACATCGAGTCGTGTCTCACTACACGATTCGATTCGATAGTAATCATCGTACGTACAAATCTACGCGACATTGAAAGGACGATCGATGACGATATCTTCGTATACAGAATGGTAAACATCTGAACTGAATCGAGTAACTTTGTTTCCACGTGTGTAAATGTCACTTATCTCAAACGACAGAAAAAGCTAAAAGTATAACAAGGTTTCTTAGTTTCTATTCTCGTTGCTCGATCTTTCTTGCAAGGTATCGTCCTCCGCATAATCCTTTTGCTGCTAATCGAGATTCCAAGCTGCAGAATGTACTAGAAAATTGTAACTTCACCTTGTAAACGTCAAAGTTCTCGATGATGGAGTCGAAACACGTGTATAGATCGTTGAGTAAATCCACCACTTGAAGAGGCGTACTCTCTGCGGAGAGCTTCGTAAATCCTACGATATCGCTAAAGTAGATCGTCACTTGGTCGTATGTTTCGGCTATTACGCTTTGGCCGAGTATCAACTGGGACGCGACAGATCTGGAAATTTCGTTTAAAAAAATCTACGAGTACTGCAGATAGAAGCGATCGATGGAAGCGAGATCGTAAAGTGGAGCGCTATGAAAGGCTACCGATTGATCTAAGCGCAACCTTCTGTCTGTACGCATGCCACGTGCACGCGGTCTACGAGTTGCGAATAATATCAACGATTCTACTTACTTTGGTAACAACTGATAAAGGAGTTCCTCGCATTTACGTTTTTCCTCGAAGTAGTCCGCGGTACGTTCCTCTACCAGAGTCTCCAAATTGGTTGCGTATTGTTCCATACGAGAGAGCAAGTTGTCGAGGATGTTGCTGCTCTCGTAGTCTCTGCAACGAGATAGAATTCTTTCTCTGCTCGTCGTTCGAACAAGTCCTTAATTGTTATCTCGTTGCCCGAGCCAGCGATAAGGCAGTGACAGCAAAACAGTGTATTTTTCAAAATAGACTTCGTAGTATCGCTAGTTTTGGAGAAGTTTAAGCGCCGGGTTGGAATTCGTTTCGAGTTCGCTACGTTCGATCGTGAACAAGTTTCCGCCGATGTATACTTGAAGATAGTCTGTTTAATTAGTTGTTCGTGGCGTGCTAAACGACTAAATATATCGCATTTTCTGCGAGAATTTTATTTCGATAAAAAATATTTGTTAGAAGGTAAAACGTTTGTTGAATCAACGTTGGTAGTCTTAATTGCGATTATCATAATATTCAGGAGCACGTGTGTATTACTTCTAGAGTGTATTTTTAGAAGTTATTTCATTTACTCTATTAATCCTTGTATAATACCTCTGTGATTACAGAATTCTATCATAGAATTATCTGAATTATCGTCTCGCTTCTGATATCTTTTCTTGCTAAAGCTAAAATACACGATATATCTCTTATTCTTCCGTTATTACAGACTAGTAGTGTCGGGTGATATACAACGGATTTTATTATTCTGTGCAAAGTTCAAAGTTGAATCTTAAGCCGTTGAATCTTAGTTGACCCAAATAATCCCTATCTTATTTTAACGCGTTGCCGCGACAAATGCTGATCGTTTGTCCACCCTCGTTTACTTTATTCCTAGCAAAGGAAGAAAGGTTTGTATCCAAGAATCTCCGCTATGTGAATTCGCAAACACTTTTAGGAAAAGAATATCGCTAGCGACTGTAGCGTGATTCGACACGAGAGCTGACAATTATGTCAATATTGGAAGAGTAGCTGACGAGGGCGAGAAAAACCAGAGAACGTACATCCCCATCCATAAGCATTAAGACACAAAGG